ATATTGTATATATTGAAGTTACTTATTGAATGACCATCAAATTGTAATAAATTGTAATAAATTGAATTGGGCCATTTCCACAATGGCATAACTTTACTACAACAACCAGAGGTCCATGCCCAGATTTTTAATAACACTTACAAAATTCAATATCAATACAAACTCATTCTTTATGAGTATGAATGCTATGAGAAATTTAAAAGAAAAGCTACATTGTAGTTAAGCAAGTGGCTGCACTGACCCTCTGATCTCCAGTAATGCAGTACCAATTGAAACCTGCTTTTTGATTGTTCCTTAAGCACAGCACCACTATTGTTAGGTTAGGTTTTGTTATATTGTTGGAAGACTTATCTATTGTTTGTCCATTGTTTTCTCAACCTATCATCCCGTTCCGAGCGGTGCTACCTGGCTCCTGATCTCTAATAGTAGTATCAATAGGAACCAAATAAGACCACAAATATATCAAATATTTAAAACTTTCTCTAAAAGATAAACTGGTTTCCTAAAATTAAAAGAAAATGTGTATGATCAAAAGTCGTGTTTATTAAATATATATGGGTAGTTGCTTATCGAACAGTTAGTATTTTCAGTTCTATTCTAAATTGTATAGTGTCTGTCTTCTTCAATGAATGAGTTTGATTCATACCTAGGTAACTTCTGGTTGAGCATTGTTCAAAATCTCTAAATTTGACCACCAAAAGGACGCCATGGAAATAACAATTCAGTAACGAGCTGCATTTAATAAATTAAAAAATTATCCTTACACATTTCATGTCTTTGACTGCATCAAAAAATTTTTGAGAGCTTTTGAGGTATTATGTTCCCAACAGTGTTTATTACATGTTATAATTTGTATTCTAATGGGGTTGTTGAAAAAGAAATCAAACAATAGCCTTTCAAAATTCTATTCCCAAAATAARGATCTAAAGCACAGATCATCTATTTTAAACAAAGGGGAAACAAACCACCTAACYAGGYCAAATAGGTAAATCTCATTTAGATGTAGGAAATGGAAAGAAAACCTCCCAGTCAAGACTTGAATGGATAAGTACACAAACTCCCTCTCTTAATACCAAAGTACTTTTCACCTTCCTGAATACCCMGGTTTTCTCTCTCCCATATTATACACGGGATTCCTTTCATGAWGGTAAATAATGTCAAACAACATGAGATCAGCTGGGGGTTAACAAAATATTTCCAGCAAAATGTGAGCACATATGGTACCTCCAAGGCAGCTTGTAAGAACATGAGCAAACATTTAAATGCCAATATCAATAACAAGAAAACCAACAGAAAAATTGTTCTTGTTGGAGGTGCTTAGAATGAGTGTATACAACATTAAAATAAATTAATTTTCCCAGAACATTTATATTAGGATACTTTAGATAATTAACAAAAAAATAATACATTTTACAATAAAATGTGCTAAAAAAGTTTTAAGTAGAGCTTATGTTTTGAAGAATTATTGCTATTATTATTAACTATGTGTTGGCACATTTTAGATTGAAAAAGACTGCCTTGGGAATATACTGCTTTATGTAGTTAAGACCACCTGTATATTTCATATTCACTTATATACTCAGGATTCTCAAGATCATGAAAAGATCTTCTATAACAATACTGATAATAAATTCAGTATATTCAAAGATGTCTGATCCTTTGCTTATTTGCATTCTGCTGATAATGCATACAGGAACCATTAAGGATAAATGAAAAATATTTTGATTTTTTGAAACAAACAGGAAAGATTAAAATATGACAAATTCACAAATTAATTTGTTTACAGTCATTCTAAATGGAAGAAAGAAAAAAAAAAGAGAAAAAATAAATGAAAGAGACACTGTTTTGCTCTAGGAAAACATGATACCCCCTATTATCCAGCCAAGTGGAAGTTGGATATTTGTAATATACAATATCATTAGTTCTACACTCGATGGAACTTATTGCACACTTTGGTGACTATATCCCCCCACCCCCACCGCAACTCCAATTCACCCCCTCTATTGATTCAAAAAAATAAATTCCAAATTGAATATTTAGAAACAGTAGAAAATTTGTAAACTTTGCCAAGAGTGTTCTATTAAAATCCAGAATACATGTATGTTATTGACTTGAAGGTCCATATTATAAAGAACTACCTAAGTTTGTGATTCATGGACCATCACAGTAGACTGTTGCTTAAGAGACTCAGGGCAGTTTTTTACTAGAGCAGATTTCGTATGAGTGGGAAACGGACGGTACTGTACTGTGACCATAATCATACTGTAACCAAATTCTAGTGCCCCATTGGTTCACCAAAATTGTGCAGGCCAGGTCCGGTAACGGTGTCCCACTCATACGAAATCCACTCTATACTGACATTCGTTTGGTGCTTTAGATGGCTAGTGTAATGCAAATGACTTTTTGCATAGCTAAGKCCAAGCCTTGATTCAGAGATCGCAAGTGCAATTGCACTTGAAACAGGAGAAGTAATTTGAAAATAGAATATGTTAAGACTAAATCAATGAAGTCCTATGTATTGCATATTAACTATAGCTGACAGGAATACAGAAGTCTTTTGCCATGCACAATACACGGTTACAACATAAACTAAAATTAGCTTAGGAATTAAAACACATTCTTATTGTTTTTAACAAGGGGTAAGAAAATTTCCTCATTCTTGTTTTCATTTCTTTTCTCTTGTTTTCAATCCACTTCTGCCTGACATTGTAAGCGTTTATCATGAAAGGGGAATATTCATTTGTGTAGAAAGTACAATGAAAACATCTAAAATTAAAAYAATCATAAAATCATAATAATTTAATAATAATAAATTGTGAGCCTTTAGAACACTATACACAACAGTCATAAATTATTTCCTTATTTTTTCAAATTTCAAAATTACTGATTGGTGAGTATAGCACTCAGTAGTTATCATTAAGTCAAAAATTTTCATAGCCATTYAGTCCCCTTCAAATTCCCCAAGTGCCATTTAGAAAACTTTGGTCATATATGAATAAAATTTAAGTCTATTTTCACTTGTTACAGTGGTACAATACATGGTACAGTTTTTTGYATTGTGAATCAAAAAGTTAATTCTGATGCAAGGCCTGATTAATATAGATCTTAGCTGTGATAATTTTGAATAAAAACAGTATCAAGTTACTCTACAAGGTGTACATTGTAAGTTTTGATTTTTTCAGGACCAAAACATTGTAATTTAGTCAATTGGATTTAAAACTATTAACTATAGTATTTTGCATGGAACTTCTATAATTAAATTACTATCTCTATTTTCCCCTGACCTGAAAAAGAAGTCTCTGCTAACTATATAACTTTTTGGAAAGGRGAAGGAAAGTAGATACGTTTGCAGACAGAGCAAGATAAAACTATACAGAGGTCTTACAACATTCTACAGTTGTTATGTGATGTAAGTGTACATTTACACATTTTTTAATAAAAGCACTTAGCTTCCTATCTTTTACATGTACTACCTGAAAAATAATCATTTAACTGTGACAGGTGTTATGTTAACTGTATCATCAAACCATCAATAATTCATGTGGAGTTACAATAGAAGGTGCTACCATTAAGGTAATATCAGCAGATATGAAACTCTGGTTTTTCATATCAACTTTAATTTCAAATGCAACATCTGAGGGGCCCCTTTCTGATAAGAAATATCATAGTAAAGACAAGAGTGTTATGCCTTGCACTACTACACAATCTCTCCCTTTTTAGACATGTACATGTAACATAAAAAAGATGAACTGATTTTAATATAACATCTCCAGCTGGGAGACCAGGGGCACTACTGTAAGTTCAATAATTAACCTGATCAAAAGTGAAGAAATTGACAATCTTTGAAAAGGTTGCCTTGACAACAGGACATGTCCTTGCATTGCAAGGAAATTGACAAGTTATTTACCTAAATACAGAAATGAGATTTGTGGTTGCTTTGAAATTCCAGATCAGTACTTTCTTGTAAAAAATGTAAATCTATTTTCAGGAATCTTCAGATTGAGCCACAAATTCTATATCAATTTCAAAGTCTACCATGCATGGAATTCCATAGCAATGTATCCTTAACGTACTTTTTACAAGTTGCTGTGCACTATCAAAAAGTCTATGTTGGTGAACTTCAGAACACTGTTCTAAATATTTTAACAATACGCACTCTCATGGAACACTTTTAGACACTATCTATCAAATGGAAAATCCTTGATTGTGAAGCCAACAAAGTAAACATTTATCCAAATGAGAATACTGCAAGCAAAATGCATTCAAGAAAACAATGCAATGTCAAATTGCAATCATGGCTTCTGCACATGGCAAACAGCAGCTGAATTAATCAAGTCATGTAACAAATGCCTAAAAAAKAGTCTAAAACCCTGTTTATATGAGATAGGTTGCCCCTAGTGGTGAGACCAAAATCCATTGTTTTAAATCCTTCAGGGAAAAGAAAACAAAAGAGTTGGCTCTACCACGTAGGGGCACCCTATCYCATGTAAACAGGGCCTAAATTTAGTTCATTTGTGCCACTTTTAGCTTAAAAAGTCTAAAGCTACAATACAGACTAAAATGAATAAAAAGTTCCAAGAACGGGAATCGAACAAATAATTTTATGAGATCAAAATYACTACAATAAAATAATAATTGCATTTGCTCTTAGCAAGTATACAGTAGCCTTCAGASTCTGAGGCTGATAAACTGTACAGTTCTGTTGAACAAGAATTGTTAAATACAAAATATAGTATACATCCAGAGTTTCAGCTTTCAACCTTGAAAGCAAACTGGGACAATCTCAGTAAAAAGTGAGTGACAGGCAGTATTTAAGCCATTGAGAGCCTTATACATGTATCAAGTATTTTGAAGACATTTTGAGCTATTATACTGCATTATTTTGCACTTTAAACAGAACTTTCWTTGAAAATAAATCTAGTCTAAGGTAATTGATAGGTTAGCTGAAATTTTACATAGAGGATGCATTTCATACAGCTATAAAAACAACTTAAGTTGTACATGGGATGGCAATGTGTGAATGTTATTCATAGGTACAATGTATGGTGGTGAACGTGTACTGTCATKAACAAACTGTTTGTCACATCTTACTTTATATATAAAATTTTAAGCATTCCT